TTTTTCAAAATACAAATATCTTAATTCAGCCTTATAGCTTTATTCATGTAACTCAAGTGTACATTACATTTCAAGTATTTTAGATTCTTATTGCTATTGAGAATATAATCCCTATTTTCATTTTATTTTCTAACTGGTTATTGCTATTAAGTAGAAATGCTTATTGGTTTTTGAATATGTAGCTGTTTGAAAATTTACAGGCACAACATATAAATGGCCAAAAAAGTGACACTTTCATCTCTCTATAAATTAACCCAGTTTAGCTCTCTAGCAATCATTTCAACTGAGGATGGGGAAAAAAATCAGTCTCACTATTCAGCTGGAACTCAACTGACAGTGTCTTGCCTTCTCCCTTCACATCCTCATCTCCCTCTTGGATTCCTGCTGATGTATTCTCCCTGGGATGAAAGATGCATGGGTTCAAAAACACCCTGTACCCATAAAAACAGAAGTACAGATCACTGGAACAGGAGAGCAAGTCCAGAAATAAACCCACACATCTAATCTATGACAAAGAAAAGAACACACAATGGAGAAGACAGTCCTTCAATAAGCGCTGCTGGGAAAGCTCGACAGCTACACGTCAAAGAGTGAAATTAGGGGCTTCCCTGGTGGCTCCATGGTAAAGAATCTGTCTGCCAATACAGGACACTCAGGTTCGATCCCTGAGTCTGGGAAGATCCACATGCCACAGAGCAACTAAATCCAAGCACCACAACTACTGAGCCTGTGCTGTAGAGTCTGGGAGCCACAGCGACTGAGCCTGAGCACCCTAGAGCCTGTGCTCCACAACAAGAGAAGCCCCCAAAATGAGAAGCACCTCGTCACACACCACAAGAAATGAGACCCTACTTGTCACAACTAGAGAAAAGCCCACACAGCTACAAAAACTCAGCACAGCCAAAGTAAAATAAATAAAAAATTTTTAAAGTGTTTAAAATAAGAAGAGTGAAATTAGAAGACTCCCTAACACTATACATAAAAAGAAACTCAAAATGGATTAAAGACCTAAATGTATGGCTGGATACTACAAAACTTACAGAAGAAAACATGGGCAGGACACTGACATAAATTGCAGCAAGATCTTTTTTGACCCACCTTCTAAGAGTAATGAAAACAAAAACAAAAAATGAACAAATGGGACCTAATTAAACTTAAAAATCTTTTGCACAGCAAAGGAAACCATAAACAAAATGAAAAGATAACTTTCAGGATGCGAGAAAATACTTGCAAATGAAGCAACTGATAAGGGATTAATCTCCAAAACATACAAACAGCTCATACAGCTCCATATTGAAAAAGCAAACAACCCAATAAAGAGTCTTAACCACTCTACCACCAGGAAAGTTCCAATAACCCTAAATATTTTTGTGGTATACATATTTTTTTTACTAAAAAACCTTTCCAGGTGGCACAGTGGTAAAGAATTCACCTGCCAATGCAGGAGACGCAGGAGCCACAGGTTCAGTCCCTGGGTGGGGAAGATCCCCTGGAGGAGGACATGGTAACTCACTCCAGCATTCCTGCCTGGAGGATCCCAGGGACAGAGGAGCCTGGTGGGCTACAGTCCATGGCGTCACAGAGTCCAAGGTAGAGCCTCATTCCCCTTCCTTCTAGTATGGGCTGGAATTAGCGACTCTCTTCTAGCAGACAGAAGAAACGTGAATGAGAGAAGTCAGGCCACACAAGCCACTCTGGCTCGCTGCTTGCTCTCCCAGTTCTCACCTGTTCTGGGAGAAGTCAGCTGTGTGGGCTCCCTAGCCGCCTATGAAGAGTCCTACCTGATGAGGCCTCCAGCCCACAGCCACGTGAGGGAGCCATCTTGCATCTTCCAGCTTTAGTCAAGTCTTCGGATGACTGTGGCCCTGACATCACGACTTCTACCACCTGAGACCTTAAGCCAGAAAAACCCAATGAAGCTGCTCCTAAGTTCATGACCCAATTTAAACTACTAACTGTTGGGGTAATTTGTTATGTACAGTAGATATTAATATAGGGAGCTTTGGAGCTGAAACTGTCCCAAACTGGGGTGAGGGAAAGAGGTCTTTATACCCTAAATTGACTAGTCTTTACATATGGGCTGTCCCCGCCACCATCCAAGGGACCACGACTTTGGGGAAAGCAGTTTTCTCCAACTGAGAGTAAGTATTGAAGAGTGACTTAAATGAGAGATGCTGAAAGCAATACTCTAAGTCAGGGAACACATCCTTCAGTCCTGAAAGAAGGGTCTGAACAGAGCATCACAGCGTCCACTAAAGGATGTTCAGGGAGCCCTCTCCTCTGGTCCCAGAGAGGCACTAAGGTCACGGCTGAAAACAACACCTTACCCCATCTTCTAACAAAAGACACCTCAATCAGAGACAGGCACGTTCCCCAGGGATTAATAAAAGCTTCAGATCTGGCCCAGCTTCCACGAAACACTTTCTCAATCCTCTCTGCAGTTTATATAGGAAGGCAAGGGAAGGAATCAAAGGAGGTGGCTGGCCTTGTGGAGCACACAGAATCTCTGGTGGGAAGAGATGTAATGGGGGAGGCTGTAAGATAACCTCTCCTTGATACCAGTAGGGGCTACCGGCAGGAGAGGCGGGTGTTCCACTCCCTACTTGCAAACCTGTCTAGGCAGGATTCTTGCTGATTAATTTGTCTGTATTTCAAAAGGCAGGAAGACGATTGAAGGGAGATGGCAGGGTGGAAACCAGAGACGGCGGGGCAGCTTCCAGTCTGGTCCTTTTGTGTGGTAAGGACGTGTGTTTCTCAAGAGTCAGGGGGACTCAGTGGCAGATAAATGGTCTCTGGCTGTCTTGCTGGACCCTCACCCAGAAGACTGGTATCCTGCTGGGAGTTGGCAGTGGGGTGATGGTCAAGATCAAGCTGGAAGTAGATCTTCCATGAAATCATACAGAGAGGACAAGGCCCTTCAGGCCTTCCCATATGTGTTATCCAAAGGGCCAGTTATTCAGAGAAGCAGGGATCCACTAAAAAAGAACTCTAGCAGTGGAAGATTAGATATTTGCCTCAACAGAGAAGCCAGGCCTTGAAGAGATGCTAAGGAAGTGTTTGAGAGTCAGAACCATGACTTGTACCTTTATACCCTCAGAATCTAAGGTCCCACTCAAGCCGGGAGATTCTCACTTTGACAGGGTCTGATGTTCAGTAACTGAAATCAACCAGAAGGTCATGGTGTCACCCAAGCAGTGCTTAAGGGACAGAAGTTCAAAAGAGCAGTGACTTGAGGAAAAAAAAATGGACTGTTCTTTTCGGAAACCATCACATTGAGAGCAGTTCAACAAACTGATTATACTGATAACTGCTGGAGCTAGAGCACTTCGCAGCGCAGCAGTGTTCGGTGAAGACTGTGTACAACCCACACAGACGAGTGAAACACAGTACACTTGTCTTCTGTGAACCAGAAATGTTGGGTTGCGCAATAACTATAAAGCAGGTTTGCTGAAGCAAACAAGTCTAGAATGTGTATCTTTTGTTTGTTTTCCTGTACTGTCTACTGGGATTAACACTTTACCATTTGGAAATGCTGGGTGAGACTGGCAGAGAAGGTCCCACTTCTTGAATTGCAAATAGACTAGACAGTGATTAGTAAGTCCCTAATGAATTGTTTTTAGAATTGCTGAGTTTGAGCTGCCAGGGAAGTTACCCTAGACCGCAACGGAAGCCCTGGGGGGCAGAGAGGAGCTGAAAACTGAGATCTGAATATTGGGAAATACCTGTTATCAACCTTCAAAAGCAACTGCAGCTATAGCACCATCACGGCTGTCCTAGAAAACACCTTACATTCTGATGATAGAAGTACTCGCGAGTCAGGAAACCGTTTTACAGAAAAATTCTCACATGATCCTGAAAGTAACGTACTTTAAGAAAAAAAGAAAATCGGAACCGAAGAATCTTAAAAACCAAAAAGCACTTCCTCGCTGTATTAAGTCAGGGACCAAAACAGTTAAAAATATGCCTGTCTTATTGGAAAGCCCGCTGTTTAAAACCTTGGAATTTTATGTCAATAAACGTAGTCGGCTGTTCTGCCTGGAGGCAGTCCTTCCGGAAAGCCATACGTTTCTTGTGTCCAGGTGAGGGGGCTCGCTAAGAATAAAAAAACTAGGCAGGTCCCTCTCAGCTTCGAGGTTATACATTTCCATGCACCGCCGAGACGCGGGGCCTGCGAGCCGCGCCTCGTCAGACTCTGCGCACGAATATTAATATTCAACGCCTAGTCCAGGGCGCGCGTCGGTGGGAGTACCCACAAGCCCCCGCGGCCCGGCGGGGCGGGGCCAGGCCGCCCGCGCTCCCTGAAGACCTAGGTGCCCGCCGGCGCGGGTGTCGGGGAAGCCCGCCAATCAGCGCTTTGCAGGCTGGGAGCGCGGGGCTGTGGAAAGGGCAGGGAGGACCGCCTCGCCGAGAATGGACACAAGGCCTATGTCCTCAGCGCCGCCGGAAGAAAGCGGGGGGTGGGAGGACTAGAGGCAACTAGAGGAAGGGATTAGAAGAGAAGGCAGTCTCCATTATCACCTCCTTAAAGGCAAAGCGGTAGCGTAGCTCCGCTCGCGCCGCACAGCCTGACGGGAGCCTCAGCCTGCGGGCACGGGCTGCGCCCTCCGCGCGTCTCCGGCCCCGCCCCTCTCGCGGGGCACGCCGGGAGAGCCGAGTTTACCTCCTCCCCCTGGTCAACGGGCGAGAAGAAGAGGCATTTCCGGCCTCAAGATTGGTCTTTACGGAAGGGGTGGGGTTTCCTCGATCCCGCCCCTTACGCCCGGGGGAGGCAGGGCCAAGAGTGACAGTCCTCGACCCGCGCTAAGGCCCGCCCCTGCGCCGGAAGGAAGAAGGATGGGGGGAGGGGGAAAGTCGTACTGGCCGCGGGAGCTGGGGTCACGTGACGCAGCTGCGGGCGCGGAGAAGAAAGGGGTGGGGCCCCGGGCGGAGGGGTGGGGCGAGCCCTCCTCGCCGTTCGGTCACGCGCGGCAGGAAGTGGTGCGCGAGGCGGAGTATTCGCGATGGGGACCACCCTGGACATTAAGATTAAAAGAGCGAATAAGGTTTATCACGCTGGGGTAAGTGGTGGGGGGCGGGTGCGCGGGCCTGCAGGTTCTGTGGTCTCCCCGGGTCTGGCACACTTCTGAGTTTTCCTGGGCGGGTGCGTCCGGGTCAGGTGGGAGCAGCCAGGTGCGTCCTCCGCCAGGTGCGTCTCGCCTGCACGGCTGACTGCTCTGCAGCGGCGTCCGCCGGGGTCGCCGCCGCGGTTGGGGGGCGTGTAGGGCGCCTGGGCTGCAGCGCTCAACCGTCTGGCCCCTTGGACACCCAGCCTGTCTGGGGGCTTGAGCTGTGACTTAGTACTGCGGTCAGAGGAGCTCGGCCAGCAGACGCTCGGTTCCTCGCTAGTAAGAGGAATGCAAAGGTCTAGGGCCAGAAAGGCAGATGTAACCTTGGAAGCAGAAATACACTGTAGGCCGTACAAAAGTTACTCGTTTCTCTGGTTTTGGGGACGGAAGGAATTGCATGTTAAAATGCAAATTTAAAAAAAAGTCTTAACGATGCCATGAACAAGTTTTGTGCCACTGGCCACTTTATCTCCTCGGGCACCACTTTGCTTGTTTGCCAAAGGAGAATGCAAGGTTTTTCTCCCTCTAACTCGGGCAGTCTCAGCCCTTACTGTAACTAAATCAGAATCCATCGCCCTGGGAATTTACACTGACCGGAGCCTCATACCTAGAGACCCCTGTGATCCTGGCCCGTATGCAGCCAGGGTTGAAATCGCAGCCACCTCTCAGAGTGTGCGGAATAAAACTGAGAGGAGTGGCTGGTCAGGTGAATGCAGCGAGGGCTCAAAAGGGATGCTTAAATTCTTTGGGGGCAAGACCATTGAGGAAACCTCACGTTTACACGGATGCAAGATAATTGGGTCATCTCTAGATTATTAAAAAGGGGGAAAGCTACGTTTATAGTGCGGGAAGTTTACCGTCCTTGTCCTAACCGAGACCAGCCGTGATACCGCCTTACCGCCGCAATTGGCACATTCTCCAGCTGTAACAGAGGGTTCTGGTAGGAAGCTCGGAAGACACCGCTCAGCTCTGTGGCGTTCCTGCCCAACCTGCGTCACTTTACTCGGTTCATAGGGAAACAGGCGTATTCAACACTGAGGAACATTCTGCGCGTTTATTGGCCTGGATTCTTCAAATATGTCAGTGTCATTAAAAAGACAGGACAACTTTTTTTTTTAAGATTCAAGAGATGACAGGGATATGACAACCAAATATGATACCTAATTTTTGATAAACTTGAATATGGGGTATATGTTAAATAAGAGCTTTAAATCCCCCCAGTCTGATGTTCGTATTTCGGTTATGAGGGCGAATGCTCTACATGCTTAAGTATTTACGAGTGAACTGTAATAATAACCGAATTTTAAATGGCCTGGTCATAAATTGTGTGTGTGCGTGTGTATGTGTGCACGCGCGCGTGCATGTGGGGAGAAAGAAAGCAACAGCACCAACATATTAACAGTTGCTGACTCTGCTTGAAAGCCTTATGGGTCTAATTTGATGCCTTTAATAAAAAAGCTTTATTGAGATCTAATACCATAAAATTCACTCTTTTCAAGTGTATAATTCAGTGGTTTTAGTATATTCGGAGTTGTGCAACTGTCACACCCATCTAATCTTAGAACATTTTTATCACCCTCTCCCCAGAAGAAACACCGCACCCAGAATCCTTCATTCCTCATTCCCTCTGCCTCTTAGATCCAGGCAATCACAGATCTGTTTTCTGTCTCAGTGGATTTGCCTAATTAGGACATGGTCAGGTATATAGGATTGTACAATCTGTGGTCTTTTGTGATGGACTTCTTTCACTTATGCATGAACTTTGAATACATTATGCTGTTGTAGCCCGTGTCAATTCCTCCTGTGTTTTCATGGCTCAGTAGTATTCTGTTGTGTGGATACGTCATATTTTATTTATCCATTCATCTGTTGATGGACATTTGGGTGGTTTCCATTTTTTGACTATTATGATTAATGCTACCATGAACAGCATTAATCTAATACAGGTTTTTGTGTGAACATATGTTCCATTTCTTTTGGATATATACCTCGGAGTGGATTTGCTGGGTAATATGCTAACTTTGGCTCAGTGGTAAAGAACCCAGCCATCAGTGTAAGAGATGCAGGTTCAATCCCTGGGTCAGGAAGATCCCAGGGGAAGGAAATGACAACCCACTCCAGTCATCTTGCCTGGAAAATCCCATGGACGGAGGAGCCTGGCAGGCTACAGTTCATGGGGTTGGGCGTGACTTAGTGACTCAACAACGCTAACTTTATATTAGGTATTTGAGGGCCTTCCAAACAGTTTTCTGAAGCACCTGCCCAGTTTTACGTTCTTACCTGTAGTGTGTGAGGGTTTCATTTTTCTCAGTACTTTGTATTCTCGTAACTTTTCTGTAGCTTGGAAAATATCGAAAGTAAGAATTGGGAGACTTCCCTGGCGGTCCAACGTTAAGAGTCTGTGCTTCCCCTGCAGGGGTCCGAGGGTTCAGTCCCTGGTCAGGGAACTAAGATCCCAAATGCTGTACAGTAAAGCCAAAAAGTGAAAAAATAAATGAATCAAAAAAAGGTGGGGGGAGGCAGTGACAGGCAATATGTACATTTAGTTTTAATACTTATTATTTTCATTCAAAAGGTAACACATTTTATTCCGAGATGTTACAGCAGCTGAGATGTTTTCTGTGTTTTAAAGTATGGTAGAAGTAATAAAAGTTTGGTTCTGTCGCCCAGTCCTGTCTGACTCTTTGCGACCCCACAGACTGCAGCACACCAGGCTTCCCTGTCCATCACCAACTCCCAGAGCTTACTCAAACTCATGCCCATGGCATCGGTGATGCCATCCAACCATCTCATCTTCTGTCATCCCCTTCTCCGCCCACCTTCTATTTTAGCATCAGGGTCTTTTCCAAGGAGTCAGTTCTTCGTATCAGGTAGCCAAAGTATTGGAGTTTCAGCTTCAGCATCAGTCCTTCCAATGAGTATTCAGGACTGATTTCCTTTAGGATTGACTGCTTGGATCTCCTCGCTGTCCAAGGGACTCTCAAGAATCTTCTCCAACACCACAGCTCAAAAACATCAACTCTTCAGCACTCGGCTTTCTTTAAAGTCCAACTCTCACATCCATACATGACCATTGGAAAAAGCATAGCCTTGTCTAGACGGGCCTTTGTTGGCAAAGGAATGAAAACAAGTGATGAAAAGTACATTTGAAAAAGAAGAACTGGAATCATCCCTCTGACCCATCCGGAAGTCTGAGGCAGCCAGGACCTCTCTTGGGGGGGTGCTGGGTGGGAGTTGGTGCCAGCCCCGCCCCTCCTGGGCACACCCCTTTGTACGAGGATTAGGGACAGGTTCTGCACCTGTTGGCATATGACTTCCCAGTCTTCGGTCACTTTTACACTTAAATGTGTGTTACAGTAAATGCATTATAAAAGGAGACCTCATATGGCGAGTGTGAAAGAAAAGCCAGTGTTGCTTCTCCTAATAGAGGTTGCAGTGTACAATTGACCCTTGAACAAAGCGCGGGGTAAAGCTGCTGAGCACTCCCCCCTGCAATCGAAAATCTGCATATAACTCTTGACTCCCCCCAAACTTGACCACCAATAAACTGCTGTTGACCAGAAGCCTTACCAATAACATACACAGTTAACACACATTCTGTGTGTTGTAGGTATTATATACTGTATGCTTACAATAAAGCAAGCTAGAGAAAAGGAGATGTTATTTAGAAAATCATAAGGAAGAGAAAATACATTTATAGGGTGTTGTACTGTATTTATCAATACCGTAGTTTGTCTCTTTACAAAGTGAATCGCCTGTCAGCGTCTGCATCAGTATTGTCTCATGTGGTCCAAAACGCTGTAGATTATTTCAGTCAGTTCAGTCACTCAGTCGTGTCCAACTCTTTGTGACCCCACGAACCGCAGCACGCCAGGCCTCCCTGCCCATCACCAACTCCCGGAGTTTACTCAGACTTATGTCCATTGAGTCAGTGATGCCATCCAACCAGCTCATCCTCTGTTATCCCCTTCTCCTCCTGCCTTCAATCTTTCCCAGCATCAGGGTTTTTTTTTTTTTTTTTCCTTTTTTTCTTCAACATCAGGGTTTTTTCGAATGAGTCAGTTCTTTGCATCAGGTGGCCGAAGTATTGGAGTTTCAGCTTCAGCATCAGTCCTTCCTATAGATGGTATATGCATTACTAGCCTACTCCTTGGAAGGAAAGTTACGACCAACCTAGATAGCATATTAAAAAGCAGAGACATTACTTTGCCAACAAAGGTCTGTCTAGTCAAAGCTACGGTTTTTCCAGTGGTCATGTATGGATATGAGAGTTGGACTGTGAAGATTGCTGAGCGCCGAAAACTTGACGCTTTTTAACTGTGGTGTTGGAGAAGACTCCTGAGAGTCCCTTGGACTGCAAGGAGATCCAACCAGTCCATCCTAAAGGAGATTAGTCCTGGGTGTTCATTGGAAGTATCCTTGCTTGGAGAATCCCATGACAGAGGCGGGTTACAGTCCATGGGGTCGCAAAGAGTCAGACACGACTGAGCAACTTCACTCACTGTCATGTTTGTTGTTTGTTCGTTTTCATATTTTAACTTCATAAATCGGCTATTTGGCTTACTAAATGGTAGCCCTTTTGAAAAAAGCAGGCTTTCTTTTTCCTAAGTGCAACTTCTCCAGGTCTTAATTCTCCTCTGGAGGATGAGTCTGAGCCTGCTTAGAGACTTTGTCATGAGAATTAAATGAGATAATGTTTCAAGATATTTATTATAGGTTGAGACCCAAGTGAAGTGAAATGAAAGTTGCTCAGTTATATCTGATTCTTTGCGACCCCATAGACTAGAATGGAATTCTCCAGGCCAGAATACTGGAGTGGGTAGCCTTTCCCTTCTCCAGGGGATCTTCCCAACCCAGGAATTGAACCCAGGCTTCCTGCATTGCAGACAGATTCTTTACCAGCTGAGCTATGAGGGAGGGGTCAGATGGTAGGTGGTGGTAGCACTACGCTT